ACAACATCATATATCAAAATTAAAATTGAAGATAGACAGTCTTAGATTTAAAGTGAACAACAAAAGAATGGAGATATGAATTTTGGTCCTGAGAGACAAATTATTTCACTTTTATTTCCTTTATTTTCTCCACAAAACCAACTTGTGATTCCAAATTCTACATAGCATGACCAATAAATGGACTTTTTTGATAACTCTTACAGGTAAACAAGAAATGGACTGATTTTTTTGTAGAGGTTAACAGGAGAAACTAAAACAACATGAAAGAATTTCTACATTTGCAATCCTCTACAAGATAGAACTAATCCTCCACTGACATTTAATGAAACTTCTGAATTATTCTAAATATCATATCTGATAAACAGATACAGGTTAAATTCTCATTTAAACCTTCTGTCTGTGTGATGGTCAATAACTGTATCACTGATATCTACAAACATACAATATTGAGTAGGTGTCATTTTAAAATCCTAAAAATCATTGATTAGAAATGCAAAACAGAGAGGCCGGATTCAACTTAATCTTTTTTATTGAATATATATGAGAAATGACTTTACGATTGTGACATATTTTTCTGTCCTATCAACATCTGAGGTAATAATGCTAGTTTCTCATCCATAGGAGGTCTAAAAAAGTTTGGGTAGAAGATCACAAAGGGCTAAATGGTCTATCATCTTAAGATAAATAAATCAATGCAAAGCACAGCTAATGCTCTTCCGAGGTTTGTTTCTTGCAATTTTGAGATAGGGAATAACAAAGGCCAACTCAGATAAATCATACATATCGCTGATTTATTTTAATCTGACCGATGGGTGAGTGCGACCCCTCAGAATTAATTCCAGGTGTACCATGCTATTATTTCATATCTACAGATTAAATGAAACTAATTGTTGACATGTCTAAGAGTTACTAGAGCTTATTGCCTCATTATGCATTTCTCTAGTGATAATAAAATGCCAGCCCATGCATTAACAACATGGCAAAGCTGTACAATAAATTTCTTTTCACCAAAAGAATGATGCTAATATAACTGTTCAGAATCTTAAAAGGAAACAAAATAAAATAATATTTTATTGCTGATAAGTTTGTATTCTTTTCTAAAGAGGGGTATTTATGAACTTAGTTTCCTGAGCAACAAAATGATATTTGTGACAGTGCAAGTTATATATGCAGGAACAAATATCTTTATCTCTAATGGTTGCAAATACAGGCCCACCTCCTTCAATCTAGATTTATGACAAATTGTGTAAAGTTTATTTGTTGAGCATAACAGTAAGTGGGCTACTTAACCCCAAATGTGATAACTTTAATGATTTACTTTGCCTCTTTCAAAACATGTTTGTATTTTACTTACTTACAAATCTATAAAATATTTACTTTCCTCTATTTTGTTCTAATGCTGTAGTTTAGAGGATTTTCTTATACAACACTTATAAAGTACATTAACACAGTTAAATTGTTTAAACATAAAAGAATCATAAATTGGGTTTAAATATACATTTCAATTCAAAAGAAAAAATTGATGGACTGATATAAAAAAGAAAAAATTGATGGACTGATATAAATCTGTAATGGTATACCACAGGTTTTTGCTATGTTTTCAACTTCCAAAACTGTCATTTAAAATAGAATATTTAAGATACCCCCCCCCCCTTTCAAATAAAAAGTGTGACCTTTATACCTGTTATAAGTTCTGAAATTGTTTCAAAAGTTTCCATTTTTATAACAAATATCCTTCCATTGCTCTTATAATCAGGCAGCTATGCACAAGTATAGTGGTGATGTTGTTTGAACAGCTTACGGCTTGTCTACTTTCATTATTAATATTTGGCATGCCGATCTCGATCCCTGATACAGTATGATCAGTTGTATATATTCATTCTGAGCTTTAAAACATGTTTTTCACACATTAATTTTACTTTTCTATTACTTTTCTATTATGTTTTTCAAACTATGTTTAACCTTTCCATTATTTGATCATGATTCTGAGAGAAAACTTAAAATTTCGTTAACCAAAAAAAAAAAAAAAAAAGAAGTTTATTCCAATTTATCGAATCAAAATATACTTTTTTTATGTACCAATTTTATTTGAAAAATATGTGCTTGTTAGATAAGAGAATATTTTCGCGAACATCAATTTTTAAATACGATCCACGGATTTAGAAAATGGAAGAAACTCTTCTACTTATTGAGACATAAATTTTCAACAACTTCTGTATTTAAAACGCTCTAGATAGAAGATAAATGGACTGCGATAAGTGGAAATATGAATCTTGTCATGAGTTAGGGTTATTTTCATATAAATATACTATTTTGAATTGAAGTAAAGAACATAATTTTTCATATGAGACTCATATTACAAACATTTCCTTTTTTATCAACATTTTTATGTAAGACTAAAATTCAAATAGGTTTAAAATTCAAAAATTCGTGCTTCTAATCAAAGCAATTCAACAAAAGCAAGTGTTTCAAAATTTTTGATTTCATTTAATTTATCTTATGTTGATTGAAGTTTTGTCGATTTTTAATGAATTACTTTATTAATTTTTGTATCACATATCCAAAAAAAAAAAAAAACCTGATTTAATTTTAAATGAGTCTTCAGTTGAAAATATCAACTGCCCAAGCAGCAACATTTCAAAAAAGTGCATTTTACTTCATTTTATTTTCATCTCTTTAGAATTTCAACACAAATATTCATTTCTAATCTTATCAGAACTAATGCATTATTTCCTAAATCCAATGCATCGGTAGAAGGGGTGTTAGAACACTGTATCCGTTCTGAGAACTAGCATAAATAAAAGTTTTCTTCTGTCGCATTATCTTAAAACCTGTGTTTCCTCTACAGAACGATTGGTCTCCGGTATATCGTTGAGTAACTTCCCCTTTAATCACTACTCGTTTATTTTGTGGTCAGAATTACTTGTTTTACTTGCAACAAACCACCGGATAATAGAACCGTAACACAATCAAATTCTTAGGAAGTCTCGAACAAATATTACATGTAAATGTTAGGCTGTCTGAAAAAAATAAATCTAACAACACT